TTCTCTTCCTTTCTTTTATGTTCAACCCTCCACCCTCCCAACAGCCCCGCCAGAGCTGCCTGCCAACTCTCTATCCATGAGTCTGTCTCTATTTTGCTTGTTAGTTCAGTTTATTCATTAGATTCCACATATGAGTGAGATCATGTGATACTTGTCTTTCTCTGACTGGCTTATTTCACTTAGCATGATACCCTCCATGCTGTCTCACAGGGTAAGAGATCCTTCTTTTTACACCTGCAGAGTGTTCCATGGTGTAAATGTACCACAGCTTTTTTATCCACTCGTCTACTGATGGGCACGTGGGCTGCTTCCAGACCTTGGCTGTTGTAAATAACGCTGTGTTGAACATAGGGGTGCAGAGGTTCTTTCAAATTAGTGTTTCAGGTTTCTTCGGATAAATTCCCAGAAGTGAACGGCCGGGCCATAAGGCAGTTCCACTTTTAGTCTCTTGCGGTAACGCATGCTGCTCTCCACTGGGCATCCTGAAGCAGAGAAGGGACAGCGTGCGTCCAGCGGGGGAGCCGGGCGGTGAGGCCGCAGGGCCCTGACCTGTGTTCACACCCGCCCAGGAGGCCCAGCTTCCTGAAGCACTGGCGGCGGCCTGACTGCGCTCCTGCTTCTCCAGCTGATGGCGCCTCTTCACCCAGCGAGACTCTCCCCACAACTTGAAGCGAAAGCTCCATTTTCCCAAAACAATGTGATCTCGTGGAAATCGCGTTTCGGTTCAGTCTCCCTTCAACACATCTCACCTACGTCACCCCTGCACCTGCCAGGTCCTCAGCTCCACCCGTCCTCCCACCACCTTCTCACTAGTGACCACGGCCCTCCAGAGGGTGACGAAGAAAAGGGCAAACAACCGAAAGGCAAGCTGCACGGTGGACAGTGGGGGAGACTAGCTCCCCTCTGTTCCCCAAACGCAGTGACCGTGAGAAAGTTACTCGCCTGCCCGGCCTCGCCATCAGGGGCAGGAGAGGCAGGACCAGATTGTCACCTCGGAGACTGCTGGCCCCAGATAACCCAGGACGCCCTCCAGGCGCCAGCCGCACCCCAGAGCGCTCTCTGGCCTGGAGCAGCCCGGAGCCCTGCGAGGGCCAGAGAGCCTGAGGAGGCAGCGAGCCGGCCGCGGACCCGCGGGCACAGTCAGGTTCTGTGCCTGTCAATGGGATGGAACGAGGCCCTCAACACAATGAGCTCCCCAAGCCCTGCAGCCCCCCAAGCGCACACAACACTAGTGCCTCCCCAGGAGCCAGAAGCCCCCAAGCACGCTTTTGTTTAACCAGAGCGGCAGGCCCTGCCACCTCCCAGCCAGGCTGAGCTCCCTCCTCCTCCTCCTCCTCCTGAGACCTCCCTCCTCCTTCTGAGACCTCCCTCCTCCTCCTCCTGAGACCTTCTCCTCCTCCTCCTGAGAGCTCCCTCCTCCTCCTCCTTCTCCTCCTCCTCCTGAGAGCTCCCTCCTCCACCTTCTGAGGGGTTGCTTGGTCTCCCTCCACCACTTGGGACAGGGTCAGCGAGTGGGCAGCTGTGTGCAGCCAGGAAGTGGGACGGACAGGAAGTGTTGAGGGTGTGAGGAACCTGGGTCTGTGAGGAGCTAGCAGCCAAGGCCCATAGTCTTAAGGTGAGGCCCAGGGGACAAGGACAGAGCCAGCTGGAGACATCACCACAGGAGGGAGCCCAGGAAGGAACCTGGTTTTCCCTCCTCCCCAACACCCACACGGTCCTCCCCGATCCTCCCTCCTCCCCAACACACGGTCCTCCCCGATCCTCCCTCCTCCCCAACGCCCACACGGTCCTCCCCGATCCTCCCTCCTCCCCAACGCCCTGGTGACCCCATCGCCAGCAGACAGCGGCCAGACCACAGGATGCAGGGACCAGCCTCAGCCTGAGCCAGTGGAGGAGGACAGTGAGCCAGGCCACGTCCCAGCAAAGCCACCTGCTGCTCCGGCCCCTCCCCAGCTCCACTTCCTGTGCAGACACCTGACACGAGCCGGCCTCACCCTGCTCTGCCTCGACCCTCAGCGCGGCCAGCATGGCTCCCATTGAGCTCCCTGATGAAGAGAGTTCTTTCCTGTAATATTTGCTAGTTCCACCTTGAGCTCATAAATTTAATTAGTTTCTTCAAATTCTAGTAGAACAGCTTTTGAAAATGCAGAAAAGCCATCATTTTAGAGCTGGTGAGAGAAAATATTTATTTATTCCAGCTTTGGAAACACTCAGCTTCCCACGCACTGCACAGAGGAGGCACCTTGGAGACACTCCCGGGGGGGGAAGGAGGCACCCTGGACACACTCCGGGCGGGGGGGAGGCACCCTGGGCACACTC